ATAAAAATAAAAACAATTATATAACAAACTTTATAATACTACGCATTAACATTATCTATCCCTAGGAGAGCAATTAAATAATATATATATATATATATATATATTTATATTCTAATTAAATATATGCTGGAGATAATATTAGTGTATGTATGACAAACAAACAATAAAAACAGTATAGGCGAAACCTAAAGCTTGTTCTTTAGTCAATTGGGTTGATGCAGCAAGAATAAAGCTGCCTATACACCTGAAGATAAGCCCTCAGCAGCAGCAGCTGCTGCTGCTCTTGCTGCATCTGCTGCTACTGCTGTTGCTGTTGCTGCTCCTGCATGAACAGCAGCAACTGCTGCGGGGCTTTCGGTAACAGACAGCTTAAAAACTGCTGCTGGTGATGCAGCAGCAGCAAACTCTGCTGCTGGCGCCGCAGCAGCAGCAAACTCTGCTGCTCGCGACGCAGCAACAGCAAACTCTGCTGCTGCTATCATCCACCCTATGACTCTGTCTCCACCAGGAGCTGCTGCTCTTGCTGCACCTCCTGCTTCTGCTGCTGCAACAGGGCTACCAAGAGAAGGCCTCCATGCTACTATTAATGCTGCTGCTGCTGCTGCTCCTTGCTGCTGCTGCTGCACTTGTTACTGCTGCTTGCTGCTGCTGCTGCTGCTGCTGCTGCTGCTGCTGCTGCCTCTCTCTCGCTGCGACCTTTGCTGCTCATCGACCCAACTCCCCAACCTGCAGCACCACCTCCACCTCCACCTCCTCTTCTGCTGCTGCTGCTGCTGCTGTGAATGTTTGGTGTCTGTTGATGTTGCTGTTGCTGTTGCTGTTGCTGTTGCTGCCTCTCAGCAGTTGCTGCGGCTTGAAGCGTATATCCGGATAGATGCTGATATCTTTTACAGCTGAACATGTACGAAAATTAAAACAAAATAAATTTTAATCATCTTCGTTGTCTGCTTTTGGCTTAGGGAAGACAGTTGTCTGGAATGCAGGTGCAGCATTCTGCGGTGTAGCAGCAGCTGCTGCTGCTGCTGCTGCAGCAGCAGCAGCACCCGGAGCACTACCTACATTGCTTATACTTTCAGAATGCGTCTTAACATGATCGTAGCTATTCCATTGCGTCTGAGGGGGGGCAGCACCTCCAAATGCTGTATTTGGCTTCGCTCCTAAGCCGATAATACTAGGGCTTACAGACGCTCTTGAGTGTACACGCGAGATAGGAAAGTCGTTGTCTGCATCTGCTGCTGCTGCTGCTGCTGCTGATCCCGGTGTTATTTGTTTATGACTATATTCTTCAATAGGATAGAAATTGTACCAGTATACAGCTCCTATTAGAACACAGCCTCCGACAACATTTCCTAAGAAAGTAGGTATTAGAT